GATGGTAGTATGAATTATCATTTTTCCCATGTTGCTTCTTTTATACAGTATATTCTGAAGAAAACATACTTATAGAATATAAAAGTAGTGTTTGGGTCTTTCCACATCTGCCTCATTGGCCATAGTGAGGATGCATCATAGTTTAATAACTGCCCTTTATGTCTTTTGTGATGACACATAGATTGTAATTAATTGGGTTATGTGTGTACATTTCTGTATTTTCCCTTACCTGTTTCAAGACTAACATTTTTTCAAAGCAAGGTTATTTTTTCAGCTAATATACCTAATATTTGTAGGAAAGAGTCTTTCTTAATGATTTGTTTCTTTGATACTATCAGTGTTGATGGTTATATTAGGGTCTTAAAGAGCCAGCATTTCCCCCTACAAATTAAGGAAATAACTGAAAAGTAAACATAAGGGATGACTGATAGAGATAAGATACCAGACTTAAAGCTAATGAAGCTAGATTATTGAAAGTGAATTGTTTCTACATTGGCCTTTCAAAACATTGCTTCCTAATTCTTAAAAACAATGTGAGAAAGAGAATGAACTGTAGACCTTTCCAACAAAGCAGCATAGCAAGAACAAGCAAGCCAGGTTTAACTTTGCAGTAAAATGAGAGCATGGCTTTGAGCTCAGCAGCTTCTTTTATCACAAGCAGACAGGTAAGTCAGTCCTCTCTGAGAAATCAGTGAGGGCTGCATGAGGAGAGTAAACCAGAAGCCATGAACTGTAACATCCGGATCATTGAAATGGAATCAGTGCACATTAGCAAAATATTTGCTCCACTTTCCAAAGTACATTGAAAAATTAAAATCCTTAAAATAATAAAACAGGGTATTAAGCATAAAAAAGTACATAATAGTTATATAAATTGAAATAGAGTTCTCAGTTATCTAAGCAGTTTGTATTCCTAACAGGGAATAAATGTCACATAGATTTTTATTTAATCCTAGAATGAAAAATGAGTATACAACATATTGTTAACAACCAAAGAGAAATGTTGGGTATTGACATTGACTAAATGTTAAATTTAGTTTTCTTATATTTTAACTCTTCAACATTGTCACTGTTTGTATAGGAAACCAGTATTGTCAGTGCTTACATGAAAAATTGAGTGCACTTCTCTGCAAATGAGATTATCTGGCTGATTTATTACATGTCAGAGTATTATCCTTTTCTTTCTGAAATCTTCTATCAATCCCTACTCCTTAATACAGAAATTGTAGAAACTCACAATGACAAAATTCTTCAAACAGCATATATAAATCAAGTTGCTTTCTATGTAGAAATATGATTGCTGGTAAAATATGATCTGAGTTGGAAATATATCTTATTTGGAGAAAAACTCATTACAAAATACTCTTTGGGATTCTTTGCTCCAGCCTCTTAAGTTAGCTTTCTAGCAACTGCTGTGAACAACAGATATAACAAATACGAAATATAGGATTTCCAGTTAAATTTCATGTAAGCAACAGATTTTTAGTAACTCACATGTGCTATCTGAGGGATATTTATACTAAAGAACATTAGTTTCCTTATTCTGAAATTCAGACTTTACCGAGCATTCTCAATTTTGCCAGGTACCCCATCCCTATGACCAAGATATAATTCCTGATGTCTAGTCAAAGATATGCAATCCTCTGTATTTCTATTTGACTATTAATTTGATAATCTTATGTTTATAGTAGTTTTACTGATAAATTTATCATGGATTAGTTTGTATCACAATTTATCTTTTTCATAAGATAAATATTTTAATTTATAAGCTTTACAATATGCTACACCTGCATATCAGCTTCAAATATAACAAGAAATACTGCCTTTCACATCAAGTGGCAGTTTTCTAATTAGATGAACACAGAGTAGACATTATTTTATGAAATAGTTTATTACTTCCACTAAAAATTTAATCATGGCAGCTAATTTAAAAAAACCTTTAACTTGGTCCCTCCCTGGTGGTGCAAAGGGTTAACGCACAGAACTGTGAGGCTGGCTATGGCTGCTTTGGTGCTAGTTAGGTTATCTAAGCAGTTTGTATTCCTAACAGGGAATAAATGTCACATAGGAGGTGACCCACATGGCGCAGCAGACCTCTCTTGTCTGGCCTGCTGCTCTCCTAGTATTGTACTCAGTCAATCTGCCTGTTCTGCTCCCCACTCTGTCTCTGGTGAATACTCTCACCACCCCTGTACCTTTGGCCTGTACCCCAGTTCTGTATGCATGAATAAACTTGACAGGTGAAAGATAAAAATCAAAACCTATTTTCTTTTTACAGTGGCCCATAAAGTGCCAAGTTGGTTGTCCAAACTTGAGCTTGCCGATTTCTTCAGAGTCAGTTAATAAAACTAAAAGAACAAAGCCACAGACCTCCTGGTGACCTAGGGGCTGATTCTCAGGATTTGCACTGCTAGAGTATGAGTTTGATCCCCCACCAAGGACCTATCCCATATATGGCACAGCAGACCTCTTCTACCTTACTTGCTGCTCCCTTTACCAGTGACTTTCAGTAAATCCTCCTATTCTGATCCCAATTCTACCTCTGGTGAGTCCTCTTATCCCCCACACTTGGCCTACACCCCAGTTATTCTGTCAAAGAGAGAATTTTTTGTTTAGCAAATACTGTTTTTAAAAGGATAAAAAGCAAACAATTCAGTAGTACACATTTTTTAAAACGTAGTTAAACTCTGTACAAAGGGATTATTTGCATTCTACAAAAACTAGTTATATCAGATACTATGTAGCAATGTCAGAAACAATTAGGGCATTCAGGTTTTTTAGATTGTGTTTCTGAGCACCATATCATTAGAGTACTTTTCATAAAATGATACATATAGTAGTCCTTTCTTGGATAATCATCTGTAACCACAATTTTTTATAATTTATAAGACATATAGGGCAAGTAAACATCTGATCTTGTCACTTCCTTAAGAAGCACACTTTTCCATTGTAAGGGTATGAGATAATGTTGATTGTTCTGAATAGAATGAGGTATTTCATTTTTATCATGTATTGAGATGAAAAAAAGTACCTGTCAGATATTTCTAATGACAGTAATTTGAAAATAGTTAAACATATGTGCACAATCATGCTGTGAGCAGAACTATAGCAAGTTTTCTTTGACAGGTATATAGTTTGAACATAAGGTACACTACAGTAAATTCTGTAATTTTGTGTGAATAATGTAACAAACTTGTCAATTTATTTTTCTTCCAGATGAAATGAATGATCATCAGAGTACCCTCTCCTACATCCTGATTAACCCATCTCCAGACACCAGACTGGAGCTGAACGATGTTGTGTGAGTTGATCTCACATATCACAGAAATTTATTTTTAAAAAACCAAAAGTTTATTTATCTGTATATGTAAAATTATAGACCCTTATTTATCTAGCCACATATATGCCTAGAGAACTAAATCTCTTTGTGTTCAACAAACAAATTTTACATTTTGCTGTGCACAATACAATGGAAAGCATTGTAAGATTGTTAAATGTACAAAGGAAGATATAAAGTGCATGAATTCTAAATATTGTGAGCTACTTCATATTTGGGGAAATAGGAGAAAATATATGGACAAATAAGAGAACAGTTCAAAGGGAAACTGAAAATGTCCAATATTATTTAGTTATAAATACCTCATAGTTCCTAAAAGTCAAAGTAAATAGGTCAAAATACTAGTAAACTATGATTCCTTAAAAAATTATTGTGCATGTAAAGTTGAACTAAGGTTGGTCTAAAAGTGTACAATAGACATAAGACTTTTCCCCTTATTTCGAATTGCTTATATTCTAATTGAAAAAAACTAAAATTGGAGATTTAAAAATGTAGTAGCAATATGTAATATGCTACTGAAAGCATACTACATACAGCATACTAAAGCATCAATTGAAGAGAACAGAGTTCTCTGCAAATTGAAGAAGGAATTGTTAGTGTGCTTACAAAGGATCTTGGAACTCAACATTGCAGAGCAGAGAAATGGATTGAGAAAATATACTACATGGTAACTGCATAATGTGCCTCTGTTCACAATATTACCTAGATCGCTTTGACCAGAGTGAAAGCTTTATATTTTTAGCATTTCTGTTGTTCAAAAGTTAAATATAATATTAAAAAATATATTAAACCTGCTTTTGAAGGACATTAGATGACAAAGTAAGGATTTTATCTGAATCTTTAGGTAAACCTAAGGTGGCACTCATATCTAAGCAAGATAGTAACAAGATTATAGAAAAGCAATATGATAGCTATTGCCATAAGCTAAGGAGCAAAATTCCTAATGAAAGGCGAGGCTTTTATAAAGTGATTAGAGACTTAGAGAAGTGAGAACATTGTGATGCAGACCATAAAATGTACCCATTCGATTGGTTGCATAGTAAAGTTAGGAATATGCCAAAAATTAGTTGCCTGCTTTTATATCTTTCCTATTGTGGAAGATTTTGACTTGAATAGAAAGGAGAGGAGCTTTTTTTAGAGTTTTAAAAAAGGTTTAGAATTGATTGGCAGCAAAGATTTACATGTTATGGTTGAGATAGGCCTGAAAATAGGAAAATCAGTTAGTAAACTGTTATACAGGTGTGAAGGAGCCAGGAATCTGTCATGGCATCAGATAGTGGATTGCAAAGGTAGGGTCCTATGTACATGACTTATCAAGGCACACATCTCTGTCACATGAAAAAAAAAAAAAATGCTGGTTCACTGTCAGAATAGAGAAGCACTTTTCCATGTGGGAAAGAAGAGTGGTGATTGATACAGTGTTCAATGAACGAAGTGTAAATATCTGGAGGACATGTAGTGAGAGAATACTGGTGCTTGAAAGTGAAATTAGTTCTATGTAAAAGAATTTTTTTTTTAATCTAGATGAATAAGGTTGAAAAGAATGAAGAGAGACATAAAACTGAAAAAGTGGGAAAACTAATATTAAAGTATTTAGGGGTGTTCAGCTTGAGGGCAGAGAAATGACTGTCTCAACAATTTCTTGGGACAATACATCAGCAGGAGTACACTAAGCCAAAATCAGTATGAAAAGATTTCTGCAGTTGTCCTAAAATAGAATTATTATTTCTATAATAATGTTCTGTTCTGCCATCTTATGATACTGGTTAGGTTATTGGAGCTTCAGGGAATCAGATGAATAATGATTTCAGCTGCTAGAGTTTTTGAGGCAGCTGCAAAAAATTATATCCTGTGGTTATTTGAATTTATAGAGGAAGTTAAGAGAATTTCCTTATCATGCACCTGGCTTTCAACTGCCTGCTTTGATGCCTACATGACTGCAGTAAAGCAAAATTGTTCTGATCCTATTTTGTCCATATGTATACATGTCTTCCTCCTTTTAAATGCATAAAAGAGACTGCTTTTATTAATTCTCCAAAATACACCTAAAAACTTATCCCTCATTTTTCAAATCACTTATAATTATATTAACTATATGGACTTTTTAAAAAAATGTATATTTGCTTTATTTGTATCTCAAAGTAAATTGTAAGATTTTTGATATGACATTACTTCCTGTGATTCTTTTTGATGGAATCGGAAAATATTGCTCACCATTGGAGCCCTTTAATATGTCTTTCTATCAAATAATTCTTCAAAATTCAAAATAATTCCCCAGACTTTTAAAATTCCAACTAAACTGTATATACTATAATCTATACAAATAAAAAAGATAAGACATTTTCTATCTTTTTAATACTTTTTTATGATTTAAACTAAAATATCAACTCAACTATTCTGGAAATACCTTTGTTGCTATTAAATGTAATATGGCAGTGAGATTATTAATATTAGGATACATCAGCAATGGAAACAGTGGTTAAGAAGTATACTTAATAAATGCCTTTTTATATTTATTACACTAAATTTGCCTTAAAAGCACACTAGTATACTATACAATACTAAAATTTATGTATTCAGTATACTATAAATATAAAATCTATTTTACATACTACTTTTCGTGATCTTAATGAGTAGCATATGAAAATACATTTAAGAATTTTTTTTTGTCAGACTTGTAGGCTTAACAGTGATTAGAACAGGGAAAAGAACCTTTGCAATTACATCAATAAATTTAACTGGAATATATTAATAGCTGTTAAGTGTTTTTAAGATATTCCTTTCAGAAGTTGGATCATAGATCCAAGGACACTAAGATTTTGCTTAATCAAAGAATATAAGTGGCAGTTTTTTAAATACCTTTTTTCATTTTCATTAAAGGATCTACTTTATGAACCTATTTCTCCAGCTTTTAAGAAAAAATATATTTTCATTAGTTTTCACTTTTAAATTAGTTTCTGTCCATTTTTGTACCTTCTAAAATTCATATAGAACTATGAAATGTTAATTTCATCAGTTCATGGAATAAGACATTCTGAGAATGTTGTGTTATATGTATGATATACAGAGATGTCATTTAGGTAAACTGAAAGCAGAGCAGATAAATTTGAAGTGATAATGTAAAATGTCAATATGAATTAGTTATGTCTTTACTATTATGCTTTCTTTTTTTAATTTTCTTCTTTTAGGTACTTAATACGACCAGATCCACTGGCATATCTTCCAAATAGTGAGCCCAGTCGAAAAAATAGCATCTGCAATGCCAGTGGGCAAGATTCTCGGGAGGAAACTCAGCTTTGATAAAATGAAGATAATATTTTTAATCCTTCAACTATCTTGCTTTAAACAACTCTAAACCTTAGGGGGGGGATGTTACTGGCTTGAAAAACTAGATTGGAAATATATTCAGTTCTTACATTTTAAAAAGTCTACTCTCTAATAAGTATAGATTATTATGAAATTTAATGGACAACTTATTGGAATGATTTTGAAAAGCTAAAACATGAAAGTTTGAATCGGATAGTTCATAGTCCACAATGTATGATGCCAATATTTTAAGTATTAAGGTATTATGGAAGTAAACTAAAAATCCAACTAGATTTGATGCATCACAATGGACACAGAAGATTGTTGTTCCTCTTAAAATTTAAAAGTCATACTCTGTTCTTTAAATTTCTGTTTTATAAAATAAAGCTCATCATAAATGTCTAGTCTTCTCTACACAGAGACTGACAGACTTGTGTAGTTGACTGTTGTGTACAATCATAGTTTGCATTAGACTATAAATCTTTTAGTCATTTTAAATTTTTTGTTGCCTCTTCCTGTGATACCATTTTAGAACTTGAGATGTTCACAGCATGTTTTACTATTTTGAAGAAACCAAAAGAAACAAAAACTTATCAAATAGCTGAAACTTTGGTAACTCTATGTCTGACACATATTGTATTCCAAGAAAAGTATACCAAAAATAAATATTTATTGTTCTCCTAAAAGAATACTTACATAGATAATACTTAAACCACATTTGCTTTCTTGAATTTAATCCACGGATGGAAACATTAACTCAATATACGATAATGATTTCCATTGTATTCTTAGACTTAAATATTTTCATACACTTATGCTTCACTAGAAAATTATTCTTAAATTCAAAAAATCAAAATTCCATACCATTTATAAAATACAAAGATATTGCAAAATGTCTTTATACCTTAGTATTAAAATAACTGTGCACTCACTAAATGGTAGTTTAGCACTTACTGATTTAATTTTGAAATCATTAGCTAGGTTTTGACAGTAAGTAAAAAGAATGTAATGAAGTTAGATTCCTTTTGCAATTTAAATTCAATAAAAATCATGCAGTTTGACACATATAAGTTGAATTTATGCCATTGCTTTTGTTGGTTTTGCTTTATCCCTGACACAAGAAGACTGAAAAGCACAAGACTATCATTTGCCAGGTAACTGAACTGTGTTGTTATTCCCATAGAGAGACTTTGGTATATTTTTCTTCTAATTTGATATTTTTCTTTATGCTTAATTTGACGGTGAGTTTTAGTTCAGCATAAAATAGGATATAAGAGAGATGTTTTATTCTTTTCACAAAGAAGTAGGTAAATTAGAAGGAAAACAAGATCTTGAAAAACATAAAAATGTCTAACATTCTCCCCAATAACTCTATGGAAATTAAAATGAAAAACAAAGTAGGAAATTAAAAATCATAGCCACTGTGTGTATTTTGCCTGGGGAATATGAAAAGCCTAATTTTTGTCTTTTAATATTTTATATTATCCTCACTTTAGAATAACAAGAACACCAAGAATTCCCCTAAAACAGAGAATACCTATCTGTCATTTGTTTTAATCAGACACAGGTAAAGTTTGTAATAAGCTACTTAAAATTGCAAGCATAACTTAAATCATTGATTGTTTGCATTGTATGTGTATATATGTTTAAAAATTACATGGAATATATTTGTCACGTGTACCTGTTCACATGTAAATTGTTTAAACTAAAAACAGAATTGAAGTAATATATGTAATGGAGTAGAATAATAACTTTTTCACATTTGGCATCAGTAGTTAAATATGATACTTCTTTGATTGCCATCACTTTGCTCCATTACAGCTATTTTTGGGAACAAATGTAAGATTTAACAAATCTTCTGTTTCCCCAGAAGAGCTCAAGTTTAGTATTTTTGCATCATGACAGTTGTTAAGACTTGGATTTTAAGCTAGGACATGACTATATTTCCTATAAAACTGAAAATTTTGTTTCATAAATTTTACAATAATTATTTTTGATTATAAATAGTAGCCCAAATTTAATATTTGACACAATTCATATTAGCTTGCTATAATAAAAATAGTTTGTTAGTCTTCTGTTATTTAAAGAATAAACATGCTTATAAAAGCCTTTTAACAAACTGTTGCCTTTATAAGATAATTATACTTGCACATAAAAATGAAACATAAAATCAACAATAGTCCCTGTTACCCTATGGGAATTGGTTTGGTTTATTGTCTATGTACCATTTTTGCTACAGTTATAATAAATTGCTTTAAAATAAATAATAAAATTATTTCTGATGATGAAAACTCTTGTTTTTTATTTGATTTTTGCCGAATTTGGTTTGAACATACTATACTTGAAAACTGTCCAATTCATTAGCCATCTTTGCATTTTAAAGCCAAAATAAATATGAAGGTGATGTCTTTGGAAAGAAAACCATAAGTAAACTGTTGTTAAATGACTTTCAAATAATAGATTCTGATAACTATCTAAAAGGAGAAGAGACAGGGAAGGTGGAGATGAGAAATTGAACAAAGGGAATGAAAGGAAAAGGGAACAAAGAGAAGAAATAGTATGTAGTGCCAGGAAAGAAAAGATTTTTTTTATGAAACAGAACAATATTACAAAACACTGATTAAAGGTTAGAAAAGCACTAATGATTAGAGAAAATATTATGTAATTTAAATGTAAAGATAGAATTTTGCTTCCAGCAAAATGGAGTGGACACAGTTCCATTATTCCTCCTTACGTAAGTACAGTAACCCTCCTAGATACTGTATATCCAACAAGCACAAGGATTCTCTGAAAAATAGATAACAGAAGAATTGGGGCTTGATGAACATGGTGGTGAACTCCCCAAGTTCCTTTTTTCCTTTGTATGTAAATTTCTCTATTTTGGAAAATATCAATGAGCACAGACAAAAAGCCCCAAGAGTAGTCTGTTCTCTTTTCTAAAGTCCTGACTTGCAGCCACTCAGACTCCTAGTGCTCTGTGGTATTGGATAGTTTGCTAGACAAAGGTGCCAGGAATTTGTGGGGGTCAGCAAATCCAGAAGCCAGCAGTTTCCATGGGCCATTGGTTTTGTAGCCAGTGAGTCCAATGACACACTTCCCCAATACGTCTTTACCTAGATTTCCAGTAAGTTCCATCAATCAAGCAACACTGTGTTGCTTTACTTCGCTGAGAGCCACAGCAGTGTCCGATCAGCAGATCCTGATTCCAGAACTGGTGTCTCTTTCTTGGGCATGTTATCTCAGTCTTAAAGATGATAATGCGTTTTTTTTCATAGCTGTATCCCTGTATAATTTTCAAGGTCTTTTTATTAACCCATCTCATTACCTTAAAGCTCTGCTTCAGTTAATAACTCTCTATTGTAAACTTTGTCAAAATCATTTTGTGGTTTCTTTCCAGAATGGACTCTGGTTGAGACGTGATGCACAAATGAACAGTTCTCATCTGATTAGATCTGAAGTAATGGTGCTGTCAAATTCCAAGGACTGAACTGAGGGACCCATTTAGGAAAATTCAACAAATTAAGTACACCAGATGGAACTTTTAAGACAGTCGTCATCATGTAGAACAGTAGGCCACTTTTATTTCACTGTATTTTCTGCTATTTTTTTAAAATTCTCTTCCAGTCCATTTTAATTATGTTAGTTCTAATTATGACAGTTCAATATAAGATTTTATGAAATGTTTCCAAAAAACAGTAACTAGGCTAACAAATATCTGTCCTATATTATTGTTCAATAGGTTATAGTTTATGTTTTATTTTATTACTAACATCTACAATTTTCCAGTGGAAACATGAAAATGATCTACCTTCTAAGTATATGTTATAGAATAAATCTTTAACAAGTTTCACTGTAATTTAGTTACATCCAATGAAATATATGCTGCTACACAGATTTATATTTTTTCATTATCTACCATATACAAAACCTGTTTCATTTCATGTAACATGAGGCTCCATAGCTTGTCATTTGAAAATACAAAGGCATCAAGAATGTAGCACCTTCAAAACTTTGCTTAGAGGTCTTCTCAGTGTATATGTAATTTTCATCACTTGCAGTTTCTATCTTCGATGGAACACTGAACATGGTTACCACCTGTGACAAAAATAGACCTTCCAGTTTCAGCATGTTCTTCTGTTAGAGACCTCATTAGAATGTGCTTTATGGTCCATAGGTACCAACATTCTGTTTGTGACCACTTAGGAATTCTCTAAGTTCAAGGTTTTCTTTATGATTCTCCTGTTCTCTTTCTAAGCTTTCCCTAGAGTCACCTTTTAATAGTCCATCACAACAATGTAGGATTTATCAAACACTTCTCTTAAAGCTCTCTAACTTCTAACTCATTATAGATACTGGGAAGTTCATTCCTGGTCAGGGAACTAGAACTGATAAAAGGGTGAAACCAAGGGGTGCAAGGGTCTCTAAATGTTAAGGAGAAAAAACTGTCATTTACACACAAAAGAGAACAGTTAGCTCTAGCATTCTCAAAAGTTTGAAAAATATAGAGAGAGGAGGAATAGGAGAGAGAAGAATTTCAAATAACAGATTCCCAATCAAACTCTGAAATCTTCCATCCCCTTATGGGCAAATGCCCATCTACAGGCCAGGCCCAGAGTTAGGTGGATGAAGCCTGAAAGCAAAGTTGCCAGGAGTCGAAGGCACCACCAGGCTAGAAGAGTAAGCAGCACCCAGTGGGCTCAGAAAGGACCCAGAATTCACAGTGTGCCTTCCAGTCTGGGTAAGTCACCATAAGGTCAATATGACAAGTGCCACTGTGTGTCAAGCACCAGCCTCCCTAAAGCACCGGAGCTGCAAAGTCCAGGAGCAGCCTGCCCATGAGCCTTCTGTTCCTCACACACTGGCCACCTCATATGTCAAGAATATTCAGATCCAAATATGGGAAAATACTACTATACATTCAATTGTCTTCTGAAATATGATAACTTAGTGTTGTGTATGTTTGTATTTTAATTAACATTTTTAGTTTGGTTGGGGCTTATTTTCAGAGTTTTTGGAATGTAACCCAATACAGAATTCATACATTGAAAACATGGGTTTGTTGGTTTGTATTTCTTTTTTTCCCAAAAAATTGTGAGGTCACCAAAGTCAGGATACCTGTCTATTTAAGCTCTGTGCTTCCACAAAAATGCCTCCTGCATATAGAACTGATTATATATTTGAAAGAATGAATCTCAATCAAGTATACGTGGAGTTAGATGTAAATCTGCTCTGAGTTCTAGGGAATAGTGATTCCTTTTCACTCAATTTTGTTTCAAGGGGTGAGGACTCACATTGAGGCCATTCCATTTTCCATTTATTTAGGTCTTCTTTAATTTCTTTTAGTAATGTCTTATAGTTGTTCACTGTACAAGTGTTCGCATATCTTTTGTTTCTTTATTCCCAACTATTTAATTCCATTTTTCAGTTAAGCTTAACTAAAAAATAATCTTGTTGTTTGCTCACCTGCTTTCTATGGCTGCTATTGCTACAAGAAACCTGTAGAAACAGAAAGAGTTGGCATATACCTTGTCTAAAAGCAGTCTCCCAAAGATATTCTCTGCTTACTGCAGAAATTATTTTCCATGAACATTTTGAGAAATTTAAATTTTGTCCGTAAAGTTACAATGAGCAATCATTGCAGAGTATAGTTCTAATCTTTTTATTTTGGGGTCAGTAGTCTCTGCAATTCTAGTAGTTTAGTTCAATTCTATTTAAATTTGTTCTGATTCAGAAGTCCTTAAATTGCTAACTCCTGACTGTTGAGATTTTTAAACTCTGAATGGGAAATTCTAGGACCTTCAGAAAATTGTGTTTTGATTCCAGACAAGTTGCAGAATTGGAATCCTGACATTTTTAGCATGTTAGCCTCTTGAAAGAGTGATAGTAACCACACCCTTTAGCCCCAAATCCACAGAATGCAGTGTGAAGAATGTCAAGTCATCTGAGAACAATGCTTTGTTAGGACTTCCTCTCAATTTCCATGTATCTTAGAGAAAAATTTTAAGTGTTTGCTGTTTCTCTGTTTTAGAAGTCATTTAACACATGGAAATCCAGATGGTAAAGAGGACCAAATTAACAAAAATCTCCTTCTAGCTTGTTATAGAGCTTGTTATTTACCCAGGTATTTGTATATTCTATGGGTCAGGAAAAAGGAACTAGCTTATCTATTGAATAATTGGAAATAAATTTCAGTAATTAATGCAAGTAACAGTATATAATTTCTTATTTAAAACCGTTATTTTATGAACAATTCACACAGTTTTCTGCAGCTAGACTTACTTGATCTCAAGGGGTGATGGATCAGCATTAGGTGTGAATTACAAAATAAAAGAAAAATGCTGAAGTACAAATTAAGTTGGGGCAAGTCTGAATTTTAGAATTGAAAGATTTGGCTGGAAAAGAAACTCAAAATTGCATATTTTGGAATATAATTTGGTTTAGTTTTGGAATTTCTTTGTTTATTGCACCATCTTGTGGCCAAATTTAAAATAGCTTCCACATGGCAAGTTTTCCAAGTTTTAATATAAAACTTCCTATGACTACCTTGTAATATTAAACTTATAGTCTACCTTTTAATTGATATAACTCTCATTTTAAAAACTCGTTTGTGGTTTTTTAAATTCAAAACTTTCATCATGTAAGTTATTGAGAAAGACCTTATTGTAATCTTAAAGCTAATAAACTAAATTATATTGAAGTAAAAGCTACATAGCATTATTATATGTAAGTATCATTTATAACCAAAAACATTTTCTTAAAAAATTATTTAGCTTCTTCTCCCAGAACACACCAAATGGCGGAATACGCCGGTGCCGTGGAAGGGCCGGGAGGGCCCTGGAATGGAGAGCCGGCAGCTTCTACAGATCCTTCTGCATCGGGCCCCGGGGCCTGGGCCGACACCTCTGCACTTGTGGAGGCAAGGCCGAGGACGAAGAGTGGATCCCAGTCACTAAGCTGGGCCGCCTGGTCAAGGACATGAAGATCAAATGGAGGAGATCTATCTCTTCTCCTTGCCCATCAAGGAATCTGAGATCATTGGCTTCTTCCAGGGGCCATTCCTCAAGGATGAAGTCCTGAAGATTATGCCCGTGCAGCAGCAGACCCGCGCCAGGCAGCGCACCAGGTTCGAGGCATTTGTGGCCATCAGGGACTACAGAGACACGTCGACCTGGGCATGAAGATCTCCGAGAAGGTAGCCACCGCTGTCCACGGGGCCATTATACTGACCAAAATCTTCGTCGTGCCTGTGTGCCGAGGCTCTTGGGGGA